CTCGCAAAAGCGGGATTAGTAAACAGTACTCGGAGATAGGAGTCTTTGGACAAAAAGGTCCAGCAAGAGGCAGGACAGATTTTGCTGGGGGAGCAAATAGGAAATATGAGTCACAGTTTGGCAGAAAAGAGTTAACCTCTGCCCTGAACATGCTATTTAGCAGGTTCTACAACCACTTTATCTTTTCATTTTCATCTTGTTGGGTGCTATATGCCTACTGTGCCACACTTGCTTTGGAGTTGGATGCATTTTAGTGAAATGAGCTATCTGAGGTTTCTCCGTTTAGATGTCCTACTGTGATAGACATTAAGTATTATTAGATACACAGCAGGAGACAGGCCCTGCTACATTTAATAATCTGAATTTGCAGACAATGTAAGAGAAAAATGGAAGAAGGAAGAGTAAATAAATTATAAAAGCAAGAGGGCCATGTTAAGTGCGTGGCTTGGAGAGCAATGTCAGGTGGTTTTGTGTAAGGAAGTTTGCTCATTGAAAACACAATGGAGAAGAAATGCTCAAAAGAGAAAGGACAGGGAGGGACACAAGAAAGGAGAGAAGGCATAGTGTGTGGCTGAAGTTTGTTTTTTTTTTTTTAAAAAAAAAGAAAGAAGTAGCCTTGAGTAGGTCCTTTCTCCAATTTTGTTTATAAGCTAGTGGTTACTTATTTAAACACACTGACAACTTGGTGACAGTTAAGAACATTTCAGGGAAGAAAGGATTCTAAAAGAGAGAAGGTGTTATAAAAATTGGTAGATAAAATGGTATAGGGAAGTATCCCTCTGGGAGGTCTGAAGGGAACCGGATGAATCTCCTTCTCCTTAGCTCTGGTTGTCTGCTTGTTCTCTTGTATGCTGTTACCAGCTCTCTCACCAATGGACTCATCCATTTGTCCCCTTGTTTCTGTAACTTGTCTTCTGTAAGTACATTCAGAATCTTCTTTCCCAAACTCATTTTCTTAACTCCCATTATTACAGCTCCCTGCTCCATCCGTCACACATGCAAATAAATACATACATACACAGGCAAGTGTTCTTTCTCTCTTTCTGATTAATCTTGCTCATATCCTTCTGGTCCTTGTCCAGCTACTTCAGACCAGTCCATCCATGTCTTTCTCATATAGAGACAGCAGTGTTTCTCTTGTCTTAGATTCTGGGCTAATTGCACTTCTTCTGCCCTTATGGACTCCATGAGGACCACACATTCAATTGATGGGCCTCTAAGTACTGCTTTTTTTACAAAGCAAGAACTTCATTCAGATCAAGGCATAGGTGTTAGTTTTCTTCAGTTTGTTTTTGCAGGTCTTTGGTACTTCCAGCTTTGTGTTTGTTCATTCATTCATTTATATTCCCTCTCTCTTTCTCACTCTCTCAACCTGACCATTAATAAGTGATCAAGCATTTTATAGCAGACATCTAGGAGATTTATGTAAAGACATCACAGACAAAACCCATCATAGGGCAATGAATATATAACATGCATACCAATTTATTATCCTGTTTACCTTTTCATATTTAAGATGCTAGCATACATTGCACCTTTTCAGAGGTTAATACTGTCAATGTTATATGATTTTCTTACCCTTTTGTTAGTTCTCTGGAAGGTGAGCTGTTTGTTTTTCCTATGGGTTGAAACTCTCCATTGTCTTCCTTTCATGCTCTGTGATCTCATCCCTACATGGCATTCACAAATCCAATGAGTATTATGTCTTTTTTTCAGTCTGACTTGTACACTGTCACCTAATGCCATATCCATGGTTCCCTGACACATTATGCTGAAATATTTAAGGAAATCTTCCCAATTATAACAGCACTTGCTTTCTGTACACTAGTGAAACACTTCTCAGAGAGCAGTTTCCTTCATCATGAACTCTTTTGCAAAAAACAGGCGTGTTTTTTTTTTTTTTTGCTGTTCACCAGCCACTGATAATTAGTAATGATAGCACTAATCTCTAATCCTAGAGATTTACAAAGTTGAACTACTTAATTTTTAGAAACAGCAGCTTTAATTCAAGTAACTGCCAGGGCATGTTTTTTCTGTGATTTTTTTTTTTTTTTTTTCTTTTTAACAGAGGTCTTTAATACAGTCAACACAGATTTGCATGAAGACAGTTTTGCACATACCTGAGTTATGGACTAGCTAGTTACATTCATAATGAAAAGACACCATTAATAGTCTTGAGCCATGGTAAAGTTAGAATTGGGCTCGTATTTCTTTGTTTTCCTCTTCACAAATGGTATCTGAAGAGCAAAAGCACACTGACATTTCATAAAGCAAAATCTAATTTCTCAGTCCATAAAGCACATGTTGCAGTTTGGTTCTAAATCTAGCAATGATGATATTTTAAAAATTTTCACAAGTTTATAGTTACATGTAATGTTATGGAAATATCATTGCTTTTTCTTAAAACTTAACTGATGAGAGTAGGATATTTCTTTTCTTACTGGATTGTGTAATTTCACCATGGAATGAGCATTACAGTGCTATATACCATCTCCCTCTGTCCGAACTTAGTCTGAAGGTTTCTCTTACTTGAGGTATTGTCTGATTTATTTTCCTTTAATTTGTTTTAAAAAGTGAGATGAGGAGATTGAAATGTATATATACTCCACTAAGAAACCTCGTGTTAATAGCAGCTAATTTTCTGCACCTCTGGAGTCGAACATTTTTTCAAAAGATGGTCACCTATGGCTCTACAGGTAGTCTGTTCAGAGCTGTAAGCAATAATGCCTTAAATAACAAATATAAAAATAAATAAAAATATACCTGTTTTCTTTCATGTATTTTGATTAATGTAAAGCCACCATCACCATAGACAGTTGAAGGTGAACTGAATCTTAATTCTCATTTCAGCACTTCATATTATGTCTGTTGAACTGGTCCAAATCTTGTAGTCTCATGTTTGGGTATTATTTTCTTGTAACATACTTACGTTAGTTGCGCAAGCTCTTGCCTTCCTCGTATGAATGAATATCTGGAGTGGTAAGTTCTCTGTGTCAGCTATTGACAATGTAGATGGTATCTTATCAATTATGGTAGGTCTCACTGAGTTTTCCAAGGGTAAAGGTTACTGCACACAGATAAAGTACCTTTGCTCTTTCTGTCTGTGTCCTCTAGGAGTTTTGCGGGGGTGGGGGAGGAGGGAGTTACTCTGAGTGACACAGAGCTGAAAGCGTGAAGCAGAAGTTGTGTTTCAGTGTTTCTCTGAAAAAGAAAGTGGTAAATGTAATCATATTTTTCATTGTGTAATAAATTCTACAAGCACAATGTCAGCTGCTCCGTTTCGTGTATATCAGCCAGCCCAAAGTCATAATGGATTGTGTGCAAAACTCTTGTAAGATTTTGACCTACCTTCTTGTCTTCTCTTATGGTTAGGTTGGTGATAAAAGAACATGTATACATGATAGAAATCCTATAATTAAACTGTAGGCCTGAGCTGATTGAAAATGTGATTTGTCAACATAAATGCTTCCGTATGAGCTATGTCATTAGGTTTTGGATGAGTTCTACCCATCCAGAAAACATTGCTAAGAGAACTTCCATACTCACATTCTCCAGTCTTGGACTGAAGAATGAGTCAAGTGCTGTCAGATTTTAAATTTTGCTACTGAAAGTAAGGTTTTTCTGGGACATGTGAAGCTGAAGTGAGTGCATTGTCATTTCTTGCCTGACAGGTTAAAATGCATTCAGTCAAACTTCAATGCTTTCTGTGTAGGTCTGATTCTAGCGTGTCTTCAATATAAATCATCTCGGCTAGTCATCAGATAAATCTCAAAATTCCCAAATGTGGTGTTCACCATAATTTACAATTCCTAATCCCCAAAACTGTCATTGAAAGTTAAGACTTCGGGTGTTTATTGGTCTGTAAATCCTAAACAACTTGGTCTTAATGGATCAAAGTGACAATACCCCGTTCCTTTCATTTTGTGCTTGAATAATGAAGAAAACTTGCAACACTTGGTGGAATTGCAAGTGAAGATGCTGGTGGATTTTTGGTGGCTTCTGGTTGACATTAGTGACTTCTGTGTTCATTGCATTCAGTTTAATAGGCTAGCAGCTGATGAGCAATTATGTTTGCATCTTTCCTTTCCTATTTGGAGGCAGTAAGTTCCAGCAAAGGAGCAGGGTGAAGTCCCATGGCTGGTAAATATTTTAGTTGTGCTATCAAGAATTATCAGAACATGCCTGCAGGGCTCTGATAAGCCCTCATAACAGCATTTTCAGTATAGCTTTCATCATGTTCTTTTCCTAAAAACACTAACCTTTTTGTTGTCTTTGAGCCCTTAACGTTCTAGGGAATGAACAGAGATTATTGATGGCACAGAAGCTTCTACAAGCTCATTTGTCAACATACTATATATTTAAGAATATCACAAGTGACAATCACCTTTTTTAAACAACAGAAAGACTTGAAAAGTGGCAACTAAAATGTTTCCAGTACTTACAAAAGGCTATTATTTTGTGAAATCATTTTCCCAAGCGGTTACAGGGAAGAAGGGGGAAAAAAAAAAACCAAAACCCAAAACCAGTGGTGTGTATGTAGTATAGAAGTGTTATGACCATACTGGGTGGCTCTTTATTTGGTACCTCCAACAACTCTTTCTTCCTTTGCCTTTCAGATATGCACAAGCCTGCTTATCCCCTTTCCCACTGCATCTCAGAAAATTCCTATCAGCCTCTGCTTTTTCATTGATGATAGTGTTTCACTAGCGTAGAGTTAATGAGGAAAACTCACTACACCAAGTGGAACCAAGTCATGGAACCTAACCTTACGGTTTTACCATATAATCTTTGTCAAGGTCTATTATCTCTACCTAAGAAAAGGAGAATATATTTTGGTTTATTTTTTTCCTAATGCTAAAAAATGGTTTCATTCAAATATATATTATTAGTGAGTCTGTATTTATATATTTTAGGAATCTTCATCAGTCTAGACAGAAGAAAAAAGAGAAGTGGTGAAAAGCAATACTTTTTTTTCTTCAGCTATTACATCTGTTTCATAGGGTGATTCCCTTCAGGGTGGTGATGATTCTCCATTCTCAGACTCCATTACATTGGAACAAACAACGAGTAATATTGGAGTCTCAAGCGGACGTGTCAGCCTATGGATGCAGTGGATGTTGCCAAAAATTACTATAAAATTGTTTGCTCCTGATCCTAGAAATAATGGCACAGGTATTCAGCATTTTTTCACCTACTGTACTATTTTAAATTCCATACATTATCTTACAGCACAGTATTAGCTATTCAGAGCATTTCCTGACAATATTAAACACTGTAATGCAGAAATAATGGGTTTGTCTATATTTTCATAGAATCATAGAATCGTTTACGTTGGAAAAGACCTTTAAGATCATCCAGTCCGACCATTAACCTACACTACCAAGTCCACACTAAGCCAATCAAGGGTAGACTAGACTAAACCATGTCCCAAAGTGCCACATCTACCCGTGTTTTGAACCCCTCCAGGGATGGGGACTCCACCACCTCTCTGGGCAGCCTGTTCCAATGCTTGACTACCCTTTCTGTGAAGAAATTTCTCCTAATATCCAACCTAAACCTCCCCTGGCGCAGCTTGAGCCCATTTCCTCTTGTCCTATCGCTAACTACCTGGGAGAAGAGACCAACACCCACCTCGCTACAACCTCCTTTCAGGTAGTTGTACAGAGCAATAAGGTCTCCCCTCAGCCTCCTCTTCTCCAGACTAAACAGCCCCAGTTCCCTCAGCCACTCCTCATAAGGCCTGTGCTCCAGACCCTTCACCAGCTAAACTAGAGCGACAAGCTATACTTAGGTTAGTGCATGTAATCAGAGTTCACTATTGTTGTTTGGTATAAACTTTCCCCTCCGTGTGGAAAGATGATTATATTAAATTGGAAATAAGTTAGTTATTTTACTTGAGTGCTGCGTTTATTGCGTTAGAAGCAATGATGTTTCATTTTGATATAAGTTAGTAGTATGTTTTGTGTATGTCCACATATAGACACGTAGTTTTCTATTGATAATTTCAAATTTAAATTTAACATAATCATCATAGTATAATCCTTAACGTCATAGGAAGCTTAATGTGGATTTCAACATAGAAGTTTCAACTTCTGGGTTGAAAAGAGAATATGTGTGGTACACAGCTTCTCTTTTTTTTCTTTGAGACTTTGAGATTAAAGTTGGATTATTGTCTGGACAGTAGGTGTTTGAAAGGAACTTGGATTCTATAAATGTACTGCAGGACTTTTTTTTTTTGTAATTTTTTGGGGGGGTGGGTTAGGAAATGCTGCTGCTTAGCAATTAACATTGTTATTCATAGAAATGTGAAAAAGTAAGGAGACTAATGATTAAAGTTAATTTTCAAAGAGATGTACTTGAACCTTTGATTTTTAAAAGACTGATTACATGAAAGAAAACTCAAGTATTGTTAGAGTAAACATCTTGGCAAATTTTTTTTACCTTTTTTTCAGGAATTATACTATGAACTAAAAATCCCATATATAAGTCTCTCTACACATTTGTATAAAAAGGTTTGGATTCTAGGATTTTTTTCTGGTTCCTATCTGTGTGGCACTTGAATCAAAAAGTGCTTTATGAAAAGGCTCTGAGCAGAAGTAGCATCACCCTATTTACAAAATGTAGTGTCTCATATTTCTTGCTTAATAACTTGCAAGTTTGAGATTAATAACTAATATTTTTTATTTTCTTTGACTATTGCAGAAGTTTGTGTTGTCAGTGAATTAGAAGATCTCAGTGCCTCAGTGGATATGCAGGATGTCTATACCAAAATCAAATGTAAAATAGAAAGCTTCAATATTGATCATTACAGAAACAGGTAATTCCTGGGAGTTATTCTGCTTTAATTTCAGGCTGAAAGAAGGCAGCAGCTGGTATTTTTCCTTAATGCTTAACTTGAATTTAAGGTAATTGTTCATTTTCAGTGAAATTATTTTAACCTTTTAAGTAATAAAAATCAGGATAACATTTTCTCAGAATTATATCTGATTCCAAAGAAATACATAGAAATCATTACAAATCAGGAGAGCATTTTTTCACACTTACTGATCTGTTAGTCCATTAGACAAAAATCATTCTTTTTAGCTAAACTTTTGAATGGGAAATTCCTTAAATATTGCTTCATGATGTGTTAGCAGGTGCCAGTGTTTAATGATTTATGGTACCATACTCTTAGATATTAAAAAGAATTTTCTAGCAAATGGAGCTGTTTCTTTTGCTGTGGCTTAGCAATGCTGTAATGCAGGGAACTGAGCTGATTATCTGTGTCTGTGTGACATGGCATAATGTTACGCAGACACACCTGAGTAAAATTTCAGTAATTAATATCAACCAGTATATCATCAATAGTATGTACATTTAGGGTAGGTAGTTAGGCCTACTATATAGCTTGGAACTTTAGGAAGTCTTTTTAGTTGAATAGTTTGCTGCACCAATGTGACTGCCTTCATTTGGCACCTAGGCACACAGTTCCGTAGAGAGATTGCGCGTGCCACCTTCTAGCTTGTACTGGCCATGAACACGCTAGTCTTGACAAAATAAGAGAAGACCCTGTGTAGTCTTTGATCAACTGGGTTAGTGTTTGCCATTACATATCAAGAGATTCTGTTATGGGAGACAGAAATTAGGAGAAGATAGAATAGTTGTTGTGTTACTCCCTGAGAGGAAAGAAAAATAACGGTTAAAAGCATCAGAACATTTTTTGGCATTGAAAATGACTAAAATATTTAGGGACATAAATCATTTTGACTTAGGAGGCAATGTCTGCAAGGTCTTATTGGACACTTACTGTTCACTGTGTACAATAGGAAGGAGATTTAGTATCAACTTAGCAAAGTTGCCAACATTTCTGAGTCTTTTTTTCTAATCAGCTGTCTTAAAAACCTGAATTCCTGTTCTTTTGCCTAAGTTACAAATGCAGTTATTGTTTGTACATATTGTAATATTTGATAATCAAAATTTGCACTTTATTTTTTAAAATCATGATGCATTAAAAAATAATCCAGCCACCAAGCCAGAAAACATGAAATTACATTACTTTGTTCACATTTTTTGGTTCTTGTAATCATTCTCCTCCTCATTCTAATAAAGCTATCTGCTGAAAATCCAGGGGTAAGTCTCTTTTCTGTATACAGGATTTTACTATACTTTTATTCTCATGTGTCTTGACCTCTTGCTATAGGTTGTCCTTTCCCATAAACTTTTACAAAGTTGTTTGGTTTTTTAACCCATTTTTTGCTTGATCTGATTGAATTTCAGCTTTTTAGGAAAAGGTATGGTATAAGCTTTATCTTGCAGTTACACAGAACCATGCAAGTGTAATGTAATTTTTTTTGCTTATAGCGGGTTTTTTTTTTTCTTCTTTTTGTCTTCCCCTCTTCCATGCCTTGTTTGTTACCTCAAGCCTTGGGGAAGATTCTTGGTCTCTGGGGCAATATGGAGGTGTGTTCCTTTCCTGTACTGACAAGCTGAACAGACGTACCTTGTTGGTTCGACCCGTCAGCAAGCAGGACCCTTTCAGTAACTTCTCCGGCTTCTTTCCCTCTGTAAGAATCTTTTTTAAAATTTTTTACTACAGAACTTCCACTAATAATGGCAGTTGGAGTAAAAATTAAAAAAAAAAAAAAATCTCAAATGGCTTTAGTTTCTTGTCATCTGATTTTTTTTTTTGTACTGAATATATTTATGGCATATAGTGATTATATTAGTTGTGTTATTTCCCTCTTATCCTTTAGTAATACTTGTCAGTCATTTTTTTAGTAGATATGGAAATGAGGATTGATGGTTCACAACCTGGTACATAACAGCAGTCCACTGAAGTCAGTGGGATTTGTTTATATTAAAAGTGAGCACATACAGTACTGTTTAGAGACCAAATATGTAAAAGGCAGTACTGAACACTGCCTTTTGTTCATGTAATTCTGATACCTACTTAGGGATTTAAGTACTTTATATTACTGCAATATACCTTTAGGCAACCTTTTAAAATTACTTCTTATGATAATGCAACAATTAACAATTTTATATTAGAGTCTTTTGAATGCTTGGAACATTACTTGCTGATTCAGAATGTCACACATTATGAGTGTGAGATATTTAGCCCCTTTTTTCTTGCCTTTTTATCCTTGAAAGACTATATGTTATGATATTTGGCTCTTTATCATCACAAATGTATGGCTGTGTAGGATCTTTTTATGTTAGTGGACGTTCTGTGTGGTCTGACTTACTTTCATCATGAATACTGATTGGTAGTAGTTCCTCTTGTTCAGTTTGTTTCAGTTCTTATAGGAAATTAACTTACTAATTTGTTTTAATTCACTTAATCATAAAAGCTTCCAATTTTTCAGCATTTAAGCTATGTATCCTCTTTAAGAAAGAGATGTTCTTCTATTAACAAGGTTTAAATTACATGAAGTTGTTTTTAATCAAATTTAAACTTGCAAAAATATAGTTGCTTTCATTTGTGCTCACATGTTTAAAGGTAATATTTAAACAAACTTACAGAATTCTATCAAAATGTTTATTACACTGTTAAAATAATGGTTTTGCTAGTTATTATTTTTACTTTTTTCACTCACTAACAATGTATGACTGCAAGACTTTCAAAGATAATATGAAAACTGTACTGTATGTCTTCTGGGAGCTAAGCATCTAATTGTCATCTTTATCTAGGAAATCTGTCCTTCTAAGTGAACAAATCTACTATTTCTAAAGTACAGTGCAATGTAGCTTTATTTAAGTGATGTGCTTTAGCACATGGTACAGCTATTCTCTTTAAATACTCAGAGGTGATGAGGGCAAAACCAGTTCAATTCTTAAAGTATTTAGTTGACTATGGGTGGTTTATACAGCCATGTTTAGATGGAGTGAAGCTATCTCAGCACCCAAGTGTTATTTTAGCACTTACGGTATTTGCATATGCAGAAGTCACAATGCAAGGAGGAAGATCTAAAATGTCTGAAATGAAGGAGAAATCAATATATATAACTGTGTGAAAAATTATCAGGAAATGTTTGGTAAATTTAGACTCTTGAATATATGGGGGGGGGGGGGGGGGGGGTGGTCATTGGATTTGAATTTCATACAACATAAATAATCAGAAAAGACAAAAAAGACAAAAAAATGTTCAACAATTCATAGTTTTAGCTGACACAATACAGTGAAATGTGGACACACTGTGGACAAATCATTCAAAAAAATGATTTTTTTTTTTCTACTATTGAGACAGTGGAAAGCTGTTAGAAAATATAGAACCCTAAACATGCTAACTAACAGAGAATATGGTGATTGATCTATGTTATATGTGTACGTTTTTGCAGCAGTTAGTTTTGTTGGTTTTTTTTTTCTTCCTTGAACCAGACAACTGCAAAACTTTTAGATGGCTCACACCAACAACATGGATTTCTTTCTCTCACTTACACCAAAGCTGTGACAAAAAATGTCCGGCACAAACTGATACCAAGAAATGAACGAAGAACATTCCATAAGCTATCAGAAGGTCACACTGATGGTTCTCCTCACTTTCTTCATGAGATCCTTCTTTCTGCTCAGGCCTTTGATGTGGTCCTCTGTTTTCCATTGCTTAATGCGATTGCAAGCATTTTTCAAGCCAGGTTGCCGAGGAGTCAAAAGGAGAAAAGAAAATCACCAGGCCAACCTATGAGGACTCATGCTGTAACTTCCCGCAACTTGCCTCTGATTTATGTCAACACTGGTGTAATTAGAGTCTTCTTTCCCCAAAATGAGGAAGATCGTCATAGTGCAGAAGGTACAGTATTTTATGTTAGCGATTTTTTTTGCTGTTTAGTATTGTAGACAAGTGCTCTAACTTAGTTAAATCGCTGACCATTGCTAAGGCCTTGAGTTTTAAGGATCAGTTAGGAAAGATCTAACATTCATGCTACTTCTCTGCAGATTTGCTGGAAAGTTTGGGGTTTGTTTTTTTTTTTTTTTTTAGGTATTTATTTGATCTTTGCTTTCCCAGTAGCTATAGAGCTTGCATTTAAAATGTGATTATTAAAAAAAAAAAAAAAGGTCAAGAATTGTGGAAAGAGAACTTAAGCCAATTCTGCAGTGGTGATTCTTGTGTCGGCTCTCGTTATGCTGACACCAGTTCAGTCTTCCACGGACTCCTGTTCCAGCAATGGAGCGTAAGCAGGGAGCCTTAGCTCTTGTGGAAATTGGTACCTAGAAAACCATGCAGTAGCGAAGCAGGTAGATACTCTAGTTCAGTTTGGAGAAAGTTATTAAAATGTACCTTGTGACTGATGCCCAAGAGATGATAAGAGCTTATCGTTTATTTAGTAAGTCTTAGTTGAAGCTATTCAGACTCCCTTATGTAATAGGCTTTCAGGTGTTTACAGAGGTGTGGGTAGTGTAAGCTGTTCTTTCAAACAACAGCAAGTAGCTGTCTATCTATGGATAATACTGTTTTCTGTAAGAAATTGTTTTCCCTTCATACGTAAAATATATTTACATCCCTATTACAATCTTTATATATAATTAAAGAGATGCTGACGTTAAAATTACACCTTGTAACAGCTTGCGGGAATGCGATCACTTCCATTACCAACAGTTCTTCTAGAGATTTAAAATAAAAAAGGAAAAAAGTTTTTCACTGGTATCACGATATGTTTACGTAAGTCCTGTAGGTATGAGCTGGGGTGGTTTACCATTATATACGATAGCACACAATATAATCCTAAGAGCATAGCCTTTAGATTTTTCTCATAACCTAATTGCAAGAAGTGCAGACAGTGGGAATTTACATAGATTATTTTTTTGCCAGCATCCTCTACAGTTTTCCAACTGGGAATGCTGAAAACACAGGAAGATAAAATTAGACTGGCTGTGTTGGCGAGAAAGAATTATGATGCTGGTTGGAAGGGAGTTCTAGGGCATGCTGTCAAGGAAATCTTTTTTAAAAAGTATGTTTTTGTAGCTCTGTAGCTGTATACTTCATTAAAAAGAAATTATAAAAAAACTTTGTCTTGTTGCTATGCATTGCTTGAAAATGCATGTGAAGAACAGAATTGCCATGGTTAAGCATGGATGTAGGAAGTAAAACTATGTATGCTTTTAAAGGATAATGCTAGAGATTAGCTTTACTAAATTGATAAAAAAGCCAGCTAACCTTTCCACTGGAAAATTCTGAAATATCATCACTATGAAAATCAGTACCATTCTCCTTTCATTTCTTCTTTCACCCCAGATTCTCCCAAACTCTCATCTGCTTCTGAATGTGAAATAAATCACTTCTCTCTTCTACTGCTTATTGTCTTCAAGAACAATAGAAATTAGAAACAATAATAAGGAGTGAGAGTTGAATATGACCCATGTTATATGGGTTATATGGTGTGCTAGGTCAGAAAAGTTTTACATATTGTGCAGATATGCCTCCATAAGACCTCGTTCATCATTTATTGATTAAGAGGTATTTTTTTAATCTAGTAAGGTTTGTGTGTTTCAAGTTCTGATCACTGCAGTAAAAGCAGAAAAACGGTGACCTCAGTTTATCTTCCAGTCAGTTGTGTGACGTTCATACCTTGTACCTAGTGACAGCTAGCAAAACTATCTTCCCCCCAAAAAACACATTTAATTGTGACTTTACGTATAGAGTTAAAAAAAAAAAAAGCCTATCTGTTTTTTATTTGTGCAGTCCAAAACCAAACTTGCACAATGAACTGTGGTACACAAACACTATGAAATAATCAAAATCATGATTTTGCTCCTGAGGAATTTACATACATGCATGCATGAATACACCCACACAATCTTATAACATCTTAGTCTCATGGTTTTTGCAGCAGCACTAGATTAACATTTCTTTCTGTGGTGGACTTGAGGGCAGCATTCTATCCTAGGCAATAAGCAATGCTGCTTTCCCTCAGGGTTTGATTTGTTAATACGTCAGGTGGTGTTTCAAGCACTGGCCAGCAGCCCATGCTTGCTTACTTAGTGATGAAGTAAAGACAACTAAACATATAAAAGCAATATATGACAAATAGAAACAAGAAATACTGTGTAGCAGAACACTATAAATAAAAAATGTAAATTGCAAAACACTGAGAAGAAGTGGTAAAGAGGGAAAATCCACATCTGGCTGGTTGAAGGACAATAGGAACTTTTTTTAATATGTACAAGGAACAAAATATCAGTAATCACTAGAAAGGGCATGATAAATTTGTTGATAGTGAAAAAGAAAAGGCAGCATACTGAATAAACGTATGTCCTGCATTTGTAGAAGTGATATATTCTTGTCACATGAGCATGACTCTCTGCTTTGAAGTCTGTCGTAACATATGGTCTATAACATCCTCCTTGCTTACTATTAAACAGTTTCAAATCAGTCAGACTGAGTAACTTGTGCTCAGGGATCTTAGTGTTTTGAGGCTAATTTTTAACACACCTTGGAAGAACAGGTTTTAGACAGCTGAAGGTATATCTAATAAAATTGAAAAGTGTGGTGTTCAAATAAAATTAAGACAGGTAGTTTTATTGCTTTCCCTCAGAGAACATAAAGGAAAAAAATCTATTGCAGCATTCAGTTAATAAAGAATTACATATTTTTTATGCAATAATAAATACAGTTTTATGGAAAATCTGTCTTGTTAAACACATCTGATCTCCATTCTTCATTATGGTTACAATTCTTAGTTGATAAAACTTTTGTAAAGATTTGATATGCTTAGACTTCTGTAAGGAGTATGATATTGTGTCTCATGGTATTCTAATTTAAATACATCCCCATATGATATCTTGGCAAAAAGAAGACTGAGTGGGTAAGACCAAGTGAGAACAACATTATTATACTTGGGTCTGTAAGTTTGTCCTAGGTTGTACTTATATAGTGTAGTGTAGACACACGCCCCTCCCCCCCCCCCCCCATTTATATCTTTTTTAT